GAAATCCGAATATGTAAGTTATTAAAATATGACTAACTGTATAATTTGATTTTGGTCCTTTGATTGCAAGGAAAGAAAGCACACTTAAGATAACCAAGACAAGTTAAATTTATTTTAAAGATACCAATAGGCTCATGGGCTTACAAGTAGAGAAAACAAAGTAATGTCAGGTCTAATGGGAACTATAACAAGCCATTAAGAAGCAATGCAGCTACTTTGTCTCTTTCAAGGGCCAAACTCATGACTGTTCTCTGCTGGTCTCTTCCATTCATCTCCCTTTACTACCGTATTAGTCAAGTTAGGTTATGTCACTGTAACACAAAACCCTCACATCTCTGGCTTAACACAATAAAAGTTAATTTCTCCTTAGTCATTCTCTAGGTAGGGAATCAACAATTCTGATAGCTCTTTTCCATGTGGAAATTCAGTGATCCGGGCAGCTTTGATCTTATAGTTTAATGAAATCTCCACACATTTTCCAAAACATTGTGCAGAGGTTTTTACTGACTCAGTCTAGAAGTAACACACATCATTTCTGCATACAGTCCTTTGGCCAGAACTGGTTACAAAGTCTTGCCTAAGAACAAAAGGTTGGGATGCATAGTCTCCCATATCCAGCCCCCAGGAAAGAAGAGACCCAGATGTTGCTAAGCACTGGTAACATCTACCATGCCAGACATAATTCCTCAAAACTTTAACTTCCATGTAACCAAATTGGCTAATTTGGCTGCTAGTATGGTTCATGACCTTTCTGCTTAGCCACTCAACTAACGTCCTCAGTCTTTCAGGTTTACGATTTCAGAATCCTAAAAATTCCTATACTCAGTGTCATCTAGCATTACCAAAAGTAGTAACACTAAATTTTTTTTTAAATGTGGTGCGAATGACTTCTGACTTGGAGACTTAAGCATTAGAGAAGAGCCCGGGGCAATGTTTACTGAACACCTAAAGAAAAAGGATTTTGCAACAAGTTATTTTTTCTTGCAAACTACCTTCTTAAAGGCAGGGAAAAAATATTTGAAAACTTACAGAATGTAGAGAAATTCACCAGGAAGACAACTCCAGAGAACATTATAAGGAACAATGGCATTGGAACTGTCCTGGGAGACTTAAGAGGAAAGTAGCTATGATTTCTAATAAGGATAGAGTAAGTGATATACGGTCTGATTAACACTATAATAGCATATATAAAGTAGAATTCCAAAATATAAGATCTGAAACATAATAGATACTTCCAAATTCTGCTGTATGACAATGAGGATTAGGTAAGAGAAAGGGAATCACAAGTAGAAGTGCTCACAGTTCTTCAGAAATCACCTCCAAATTCTTCTAAAATTGTTGATTAGATGTTTTCCAAATTATAACACATGCTTGTTATGAAAAATGAAATAACCTAGTACAAAAGTATATGATGATGTGTGCATGTATAGGGTGAACTTCTACCAGGCTGGGCCATAACAACTTCTGAGGAAAGCACAGTTACTGAAACTGCAATACAAGCAATTCTCCTTACCTATCTTGAGAATCTTTTCTTTTTCCTTAGAGTTCGAGAATTGTACCTGTATATGCCTGGGTCTTTTTTCATCAAGATCATCTGTAATTCTAAAATCCTTTCTATCTGTAACCTATCTTTCTTTGATTCAGGAAAATTATTTTTTCAATTGTGGTTTTTTTCCATCTGTGCCTTTTCCCATGCTGGGATTCCTATTATTCACAAGTTGGGTCTCTTGGATTTATCCTCCAACTCTCTTACCTTAATACAAGATTCATTAAACCTCCATCTTCCCGGATTCTTCTGTCTACCCTTTCCAAAGTATTAGCAATATATTACTTATAGTTAGAAATCCTACATAATTTGAATAAGGTCATCTTCAAGTAGTACTAAATGGGTGAAACATTCTTAATTTACCATAATAATTGCATAATTAAAAAGACAAAGGAATATCAACAGTAAATAAATATAGAAATTATTAAAAGATGGTACAAATATAGCAAGTATAAATTAAATTTTAACGACCCCATAAAAAGAAGTTTCCTCAAAATTTCTTTTGAAATAGAACATCGCCCTCATCACTTTTCAAATGATGCAAATTTTACAAAACACATTCAGCAATATCATTAATCACAAACTAAGTACAGAATATTTTTATCTATGTATCAGAGAATCTTAAAGTGCCAGAGCCTAGAATCGGCATCTTTCATTGATTTTTGCCCCCTACAACCAAAGATAGTTGGTTATAGGATAAAGTGAGGGGACATGAGAGAGAATTCTTTTTCCTCTGAGTGTTCATTCTTCAGAATCAAAGGGACTGTTGTGTTAAAAATTAAGCATTGTAGTCAAAAGTAAATAGGAACACATCTAATTTTTCACTGGTAAACATTTGTTTTTTTAAAAATGGAAAAGCTGCTAGAACATTTTAAGTTTGCTCTATTCATTGCTAAAGAACATGGTTTGGATGACTAATTTACTAAGTTCCAAAGGATAATCAGGCACTTTACATAAATGAGAACATCTGCAGTCATTCCAGGAGCGATGAAATTACAGAGCTATCAATCCTTGTGCTTCAGGCATTGGGTTGATCTGATCACCAGCTGGAAGAGAGAAGATATTCCCTGTAGTATTTCTATAATATCATCAATTTACATTCAGATGTTTGTTTCCCTTTAAACACAATTCATTGGGGGGATTTAAAGTACATTATGGCCAAATAGTGCACCATGAAGGGAAAATCTTCAAAGGTTTACAAAAATATTTTAGATAAATTAATTTAAAAAAAAAAAAAAAAAACCTCTCAGGGAAGGTAAGCGGAAGAGCATAGAAGTTAACAAAGACGATTTGGGGTATTTTATCACACACAGAATGTGACAGAGAGTAGAACTCAGCATTTGTTGAATAAATGAATGAGTGAATGAATACGTAAAGAAACAAACTTACATGTGCCTGGATTCAAATCCTAGCCTCATCAATATTTGACCATGCTTATCCTTAGTTTACTCATCTTCAAAATGGGGACAAATGTACCTACCTCTTCTTGTTATTACTGAACTAGGTAATGCATGTAAATAAATAAAACCACTGCCTAGAACACATAACAAATAGCAGTCATTTTAAGAGCTCACCTGGGATTGATTTGGCTAATTCTCAAGATCTAACAATTAAATCACTTCAATATATCTCATTATAGATCAAATTGCATATCGACTGTACTGTAAATCTGTATTGTACCGAGTCTCTGTGAAACCAACAGTGTATTACACCTAAGACTATCCTTTATTTTGAACTAAGCATAAGTTTTCTGCTAGTAAGCAGACCTCATAAAATGGTGCCTTCGTCCGTTTAGGCTGCTGTAACAAAACACCACAGAGTAAGGAGCTTATAAACAACAGGAATTAAAGTTCTGAAGGCTGGGAAGTGTAAGATCAAGGTGTCTGCAGATTTGGTATCTGGTAAGGGCCTGCTTCCTCATATGGTAGAAGGGGCAACGGACCTTTCTTGGGCCACTTTTATAAGGGCACTAATCTCATTCATGAAGACTCTGCCCTCATGACCACCTCCCAAAGGCCTCCACTTCCAAATACCATCACCTTGGGGGTTAGAATTTCAAGATATGAATTTGGAGGAGATACAAACATTCAGTCTATAGTAGATGGCATAATGTTCAAACTCATAAAAAAAGAGTAACAGCTGCTCGCCTTGAAATGTCCAGACCCCTAGCCCAAAGTTACTATGAATTTCAGCCGAATGCATACGAAAGTCATGGAGAGGATTGTAAATTGTGAGTAGTACTGACACTTCTTTTTAACAGTTTCTTAATAATTACCCACTTGTTATTAGCAAATTCTCTTGGGACTCCTAAATTAGATGTATCCTACAGATACAGATAATGTTCCAAACTCAAATGAAGAAATTCTGTGCAAACAGAATACATATGCCTTTGGATGCTCTGGACTCAACTAGTTAAAACAGAGGTTAAAAATAAATTTCACAGCATTTGTGATTAATGTAACTTTAAATAACAATGAGAACTTTTTTCCCCAAATAGTGATCAAGTGCTGTTTTCATTGCAACTGAAGAGCATTTTAGAAAGATAGCCAGTTTATGGGACTGTTTTTCCAAGGGCAGGGTTATAAAAAGTCCTTTTTTTCTGGTCAGTAAAATGGTTTTAAATTATAAATATTGCTGCATATAATCAAATTATCTCTTTTCTGGAAGATGGAAAATTGAAAGATTTCTTAGAACTTAGAGTTTTTGTCATTATTTCATGAATCACTCAGCAAAAGGCAGCCATGTACTATTTCAAATAAGTTACTACCTCAGAATGTTGCTATGTCACTTGACTCAGGTTTTTCTTTCTTTTTGTCTTCTATTATCAAATCAACAGTTCTGTAGGCAAGGGGCAGATAACTCCAGCAGTGTTTGGGGAGAGGGAGAATAAGGGTGCTCAATCTGTGAGAACACTAGAACCCCTCTATCTGTCCCTCCACTTCCCCATCACCATGACTTAAGGGAACAGAAGGAGCCCACCATTCCGAAGCTGTGGTAAATCCTCAGGCCACGTGACATTGCATAATGCTATTTGGAGTCAAATATTGAGACTCCTTAGTAACACAGTGATTCATTGGAGCAAGTTACTAAACTATGCATACCCAAAAATGGGTAACCCATTGCTGCCTCAGCTAAACCAAAGGTCCTGCTGGCCCTGTGAAAGGCTCAGCCAGATGCTGAGAGCAAGCGGGGTGAGAACACAGCTTTGGGAGGCAGGGAGATTGAAGAGGGGACAGAGGCACGTTCACAACATACCATAAGAAGCCTCTGGACCAGCTGAATTTAAAGCGGGAGATAAAAGAGACATAGATTTTAACTAATATATTGAGTCTTTACATCGGCTACCTATTTTAAATCTCTAGGAAGTCGATATTATTGTTAGACACCAGAGACTGATGGTGAAAGACGCGACGAGGCTGTTGCCAGGGCTCCCGCCCAGCGCCGTCAGACTGCGGGGATGGGGAGCGCCAGGGGCTGGCTTCAGCGAGTTCAAGAGGGGGACAAAAGCTCGGCTGCCATACAGAAACCTAGGTTTGAGTGCGAGCCTGCCAAGGCGGCCAGCAGCAAGAGGAGAAGGGGGGTCTGCTGTGGTCGGCACGGAGACCATAGCTGGAAGCCAAACGCAGGCTGTTGGCGAGAAGCACTAGCTCCCTCCGCCAGCCCACTCGCTGCGGGGAGGGGTTTCTCACGCCCCCTGCTCCTGGGTGACTGCACCGGAGGTCGGAAGGAAGCGGAGCGAGGGATGAGTCATCCCGCCTAATTCCTCCTTCCGGGTCCCCTCGCCAACGCACGCCAGCCCCCTCCTGAGATCATGCAGCAGGGAATGAAGACTCGGTTCATCCTCAGGAGTCCTCCACGAAACCCCCTGTGGCCTGCGGAGGAGAGGAGAAGGACGGGGCTTGTGACCAATGAGAGCTTTGCTCTGCCGCCCGTCGTCCAATAGGCAGTAGTTTACAGGTCGGGGCGGGACTTAGGAGGGCAGGAGGGGGCGGTTTGGGGCTGGCGCGCGGCGCCGCGTTTCTATAGCTCACCGAGTGCCTGGTAGGGAGTCCGCGCCTAGGCGACGCGGGAAGGCGCCGCTGCCGCCGCTGCCGCCGCTGCTGGCCAAGGTGCTGGACACGACAGGCCAGTCGGCCACCTCGCCAGCTCAGTCGCCCGTTGCAGCCGCCGCTGCCTCGCTTCCCGCCGGGTCCCCATGGAAGAGATGGAAGAAGAGTTAAAATGCCCCGTGTGCGGGTCCTTCTACCGGGAGCCTATCATCCTGCCCTGCTCTCACAATATTTGTCAGGCGTGTGCCCGCAACATCTTGGTGCAAACCCCAGAGTCTGAGTCTCCCCAGAGCCGTAGGGCCTCGGGCTCCGGGGTCTCTGACTATGACTACCTGGACTTGGACAAGATGAGCCTGTACAGCGAGGCGGACAGCGGCTATGGCTCCTACGGGGGTTTCGCCAGCGCCCCTACGACCCCGTGCCAGAAGTCTCCCAACGGCGTCCGCGTGTTCCCCCCGGCTATGCCGCCACCGGCCACCCACCTGTCACCGGCCTTGGTCCCAGTGCCCCGCAACTCCTGTATCACCTGTCCCCAGTGCCACCGCAGCCTCATCCTGGATGACCGGGGGCTCCGCGGCTTCCCCAAGAACCGCGTCCTGGAAGGGGTAATAGACCGCTACCAGCAGAGCAAAGCCGCGGCCCTCAAGTGCCAGCTCTGCGAGAAGGCGCCCAAGGAGGCTACTGTCATGTGCGAACAGTGTGATGTCTTCTACTGCGATCCGTGCCGCCTGCGCTGCCATCCGCCCCGGGGGCCCCTAGCCAAGCACCGCCTGGTGCCCCCGGCCCAGGGCCGCGTGAGCCGGCGGCTGAGCCCGCGCAAGGTCTCCACCTGCACAGACCACGAGCTGGAGAACCACAGCATGTACTGCGTGCAGTGCAAGATGCCCGTGTGTTACCAGTGCTTGGAGGAGGGCAAACACTCCAGCCACGAAGTCAAGGCTCTGGGGGCCATGTGGAAATTGCACAAGGTCAGTCCTAAGAAAACCCACCCCTAACTCCCCGCGCCTCCGATCCTCTGGTTTTGCATCATACAGTCTTCTTTTGCGCACAGTGCATCCCAGCGGGGGCGCAATGCAGGTGCCTACAATATTTGCTTCCGCCGTCTGGTGCATTGCAGGAAGCGCAGGGGGATCATAAACGGCGCACAGGGATATTCACTATTCCCAAGAGTTATTGCGGGGATGCCTTAGAGCGGGTCTCCCGGGGAGCGCTGCCTGCTAGCCAGCGCAGGGCGCCCCCTCTCCGCTGCGGACGTGCAGCTTGCGGCCGAGGCCAGCATGTGAGAAAGCGCTGCGGAACTGGGCAGAGCAGCACCAGTGCTCAGGGCCTCCAGGGCCCCTCCAGAGCAGAGCCGGCGGCTGGGCTCTGGCCGAGGTCCCCAGGGAGGAGGTAGGGGAGGTTGGGTAGCGCTGACCGCCCGGGACTGGAGCTATTGGATAGGCAAGCGCCGTGAGCCACCGCCAGGGCGGGAGAAACGTCGCGGGCTGAATTCTGATGAGTCCGCTCTGGTCCAGACCTCGAGAACCTGCTGGAGGGGATGCTGTGCGCCTAGGAGGCGGAGGAGTCGGGAGGTTGGTGGGCAAATACTATGACAACACGGCTTGCAGGCTGTGATCGTGATCATCCGGGAGCGTACCTATGGCTGGAGTAGCAGGACCCGATGTTTCTGCGCGGTCACGGCCTGAAAGCTAGGCAGACGTCTCCCAGGGTAACCCACTCCTCCTAACCTTCCACACACCCATTTGTTCAGGATTCAACCCTTTTCCTCTTTCAGTAGTTGTCTGCGCAAACTTCGAGATACCTGTTACCAGATTTATCTTTCTGGTCTCTTTTGATGGCGACTCCACCAAAGCTAGCTTCAAGAAGAGTGCCTTCAGTGTTAGGTCATATCATTCCACTGCTCAAAATCCTCCAGTTGTCCCCCACGTTTCTCAGACAGTCCTTAGAATGGTCCACCAAGACTTCCCCTTTGGCCTTATCGACCTCGTTTCCTCCCACTTATTCCCTCTGCTCCAGCCACAAAGTCCCTCTTGCCATTCCCCAACCCACACCAGGCACCTTCTGGCCCCAGTACCTTTACATTTGTTATTCCCTCAACCTGAGATGCTCTTCCCCAAAATATACCCATATCTAAGTGGCTCACTGTCTTGCCTCCTTAAGATCTTTGCCCAGATGTCTCCTTTGCGATGAGGCCTTCCTGACTGCAATTGCTGCCATTCATCTCAGACGCTCCTTAGTTCCCTCCCTGCTTTATTTTTCTCAGTAGTAGTTATCACTACCTGGCATGCTACATATTTTAATTATCATGTTACTCTTGTATGTCTATTGCTTCCCTCCACTCCCCCCCGCCCCGCCCCCGCACACACACACACACTGGAAAATAAGCTTCAAGAGATGAGATCTTTATAATGTTATGCCCACAAAGCTTGGAAGGAAGGGAAACACTCTCGAGGAGATGTGCATAAATTTGACTTCTGCTTTTTAAATAATCTAGTTAGTTAGGGGTGTGAAAAGCAGGGGTTCAGGATTATTGTAGGGAGGGTTTCTTCCCATCATTTAACTGCAAGCCCAAAGATAAGGCAGAGTGGTGAAAAGGGTGTGTAGGCCTCAGCTATGGCTCCTCTCCAGGTGTCCTAGCATTCTTTGGAGCCTGGAGAGGCTAGCCTTTGAGAGAGGCCATTGATATTTTATTTACAGAAAGAAAAAACATTTTCAGCATTCAGGGAGGTTTTCTCAACTCAATATTAATTGAATGTAATCTATATTTACAGTCATTTGTGTTCTCACACATAACCCATTAAACCATGTCATTCCTGATGGAGATTTAATTCAGCACAAATTGAGCCCGAAGGCTTATGCCACTATTTTGAAAAGGCTTCAATTAAAATTTTTTAAAATGACAGTTTTGAAAGTTCAAAAATTTAGTTCTTGGCCAATTTTCATTTCATTTTATGATTTCACTCTTAAACTGCCAACTATAGCCTATGTTGAATTGCCCTACAAAACTATCCTTGGAACTAAGAAATTAATCACCTTGTCTGGAAAAAGAACTTAGAGCCACACACTAATTAAGATGATCAAACCACAGCATTATTTTTCTGTGAATAAGAGCCTATACTTTATCCATTAAGATTAAAAGCAACCTTTAAATCTTTGTCTAGCCCCATGTAGATTTGAAATGTTAAACCATTTGTTTTATCCATAACGGAAGTGATAAGTACACATTGTGATGTGGAGTGGTTTGAAATTTGGATGTCTGCTAAAAAAGATATGACAAAGTAGGCTAGAAAGAGAATGTTGTTTTTTGTTTTTTTAAGGCTATTTCTTCTATGATCTCTTGCACATTTTTTTCCAAATTTTGTTCAGTCAATATCAGGCTTATTAAACTGCCAAGAAAATATAAGACAGAAGGATGACAGATTTTAACATTCACTTATCATCTGTTAGATGAACAACAAATATTACTCCCCCACCTTATCTCCTTAATAAGATAGTAAATGTGTTAGCACTGGATTTTCTCATAGTCTACTTATTTTCTAGTTAATGATACCCCTTATCTCCACAAAAGTTCACGGGCCAGAATTTCTATGCCTTTCAAAACATAGGAGAACAAAGAATTACACTAAGTAATTCTCTCAAAGTTGAGCAGTCAGTTATCAACAAATGTGATTACTAGACCTGAAAGTTTTCATTCATATTCTACCATATTAATTAGCCATTTCTAGTGATAAAGAAAATCCTGTGAATAAATATTTTCCTTGGGCACTGATTCATTATCTTCCACACTCAAGACAAAATGACTGGTTTTCTTTTTAAATGATTTTAAAAACAACCGGTTAAAATTCATTAGTTGTCAGTTTACCAAGTTAAAATATTTTTCAGATATAATAGCCTTCAAAATCCATGAAAAATAATGCATGAAACGGCCTTACAAGATAAATATCTGGTAACAGTTTTTATTTAGTATCAGCATTTGCTATATTCCTTTATCCAACTTAGGTTGGTATAAAGAATTGCTACACACAAAAAATGATTTTGTAGACACTTTCAAGTAAGCAATTAGAATCATTGTTATTACTTTGTAATTGAAGCAATTCATATTCCTAAATTATCATTATCCTTGAATTCCTGGTGTATCAATCATTGAATCAGTAATATATTTGTAACCATTTGTGTGTGTGTGTTTGTGTTGTTGAGCAAGAATTTTCTTTTCCTTTGTATCCTAAGCACTGACTTTTCATTCTGACTGGTCTCAAATGTTATTTATCGCCTTTCTTTTTTTTTTTAATGAAGATTTGCAATTTAAATATTTTAAAATTAACTGTTAGTTGTTATGCTTTCATTTTCAGAGTATTCTGGGAAAATATTTGCTTTTGAGTGTGGTGACATCTCATCAAATATTTCTGCAGCAAAATGTGTTATTTAATGTAACAAAAATGATATTCAGTTAACTATATATCCGCAGTAAACACAAGATAATCTAGACGTTCCTGTGGTAGCATATGTTCATGTTTTTTAATTTTAAAAAAATTTAGTTCTAGTACAATAAGAACATTCTGTGTGCAATGTAAGCATACTTAAAAGTATTAAGAAGAATGCTACAGAAAAATAAATCGTTCCTCTTTGTACTGAGACATAACAGAAAGAGCTAGATGACAGGAGATCTGGGTTCCAGACCTGATGCTGCCACTTACTTGCTGGTAACTTTAGGCAAGTCTCATAACCTCTCTGTGCTTCCTATCCACAGGGATGTAAAGGAACTAAAACTATATTGTGAATGAAAACTCCGTTTTGAAAGAATGATTTAAATGTTTATATCTTACTAATTTCAGGTTGACACAAGAGAAAGTTTTTGCACAAAAGAGAAGTTATTGTCTCACTAGTCAACAATTACTACATAAAAATCTCATTCCCCAGTTTGGGATACTTTGCTCGCTCCTTTCAGAGCACAGAGTGCAATATAAAGGCTACTCTGACAAGTGAACTAAAAGAGTGAGCCACATCATTATAGATCCAGAGAGAATACTCAGTTGAATTAAGCTCAAGGAATAAGAACACTACACAAAGATATACTTATATATTGAATAAAGGTATCTTGTTTTTGAGAAACAAAGCTAAAACGATACTGACATAACTCAGATTTTTTCAGATTCTGCAGTGAAGATAGTGTTGTCACTTCGAAGTTTTAGAAATTGTTCTTTCTATATATGCCATGAAAAGATGCTATGAATTAGAATTTCTGGTCAAATCACAGTTTCCATAAAGTAAGAGAAAATTATCACAACCATCTATTATTAAGTAATGAGAATAATGCACAGGCAAAAATTACCTTCACGATCAGTACAATTAATTGCACTTCTCTCACCTAAACACTTTTCAAAGTGTGTATGCATATAACCTAACCTTGGCAAAGAGGGTAGAATTCATTAAGAACAAAATATTTCTAAATAATATCAGTTTTATTAAGGATTGTTGATTGTAAGAGACAGAAATCACTTAGATGATCTCAGAGGATTTCATGGGAAATGAAACAAAAGCTGCTCACAAGGACAACGGAATTGGAAAGCCAGAAGCTACGTTTACTCTCGGTGTCAATCAGCTTGGACTAAATTATGCTGCAGTAACAGTTTCCAAACCTCAGTGAATTACAACAGCATCTAATTTCTTACTCATATCGATGCCCACTGAGAGTCAGCTGTGGCCCTCCTCCATATCCTTCTTATTCTTGAACTTAGACTGAAAGAATGTATTTGAGATATGCCAACTTTATGGCAGAGGATAGAGAGCAAAGCAGAACCGTTCGATGGCACTTAAAGGTTCTACTCAGATGTGACATGTCACTTTTGCTTATATTCCACTGATTAAAACAAGTTGTGTGGCCAAACCTGATGTTCATGATGCAGGAAATACACTCTTCCTACAGAGAGAGGGACCAGAGAAAAGTCCTGTAGAAGTGGGCAGAGACTAT